TTTTCCCAACAGAAATGATTCCATGAGGCTGTGATTCTTGCAGCTGCTGAGCCTCCTCTTAAATTCCCAGGCAGGACATGGTTTCTGGAGTGCAGAAAGCCAGCAGGACATGGTTTCTGGAGTGCAGAAAGCCAGTGCTGTTGTCTTTTCAGGCTGGGGTTTGTGGGATGGATGAAGCTTCACTTTTTTCAGCAAGGAGCTTGCTGGGACTTCATCTTGCAAATTTCTCCTCCCCTCCTCAGGCAAGTGAATGTGAAAGGCACCGTGCTGAGATGCTGGAACAATGGCAAGAAGAGAAGGCAAAGAGAGAGCGGGAACACGAGAAGGTGCTGCTTGAGCTGAGGCAGAAAGTTGCCACCCTGCAGGTCTAACAAGATGAACAAATTAGATTTGAAAAAGCCAAGCGACAGGTAATGGTTCTGAAGGGAGAACTGGTGTGATTTTTTGCAAGGCTGGAGCTGTGGAGATGGCAGGCTATGGGGGCTGTGTGGAGCATGTCCTCCATGTCCTCTCCATTGAATTTGGGCAGGTGAAAGGTGACCGGGTCTGTCTTTGGGACCAGGAATGAGCCCTCTCACAGGAAGCCAGGCAGAAACATCAGCTTTAAGTTGAGATTTTTGTGCTGCTCTTGTGTTCTGTTTTTCTAAGACATACCTCAGAGTTTCTTCACTGTTCTCTTACCACTCCCCTTCTGGTGTGTGCTGGTAGGTGTTCAGTGCCAAAGTGAGATTGTAGGACTTTTGTGGGCACAGGGAGTGTGAAGCAGAAATGCTGACAAGGATGAGAAAAATCTATTTAACGACTCATCTGGAGTATTTCTGAAGAGGAACCCAGAGATGTCTTCTGGGCTGTGTTTTAAGTCACTTCCTGGGCAGCTGTGGCTCCCCGGGGCAGACAGTGGCCCAGGGGAGCAGCAGCCAAGTGCTCTGAGGGCGCGTGAGCCCATCCGTCTTTGCCTCTTGCCACACAGATGTTGCAGGCAAGTGTGAAACCCTCTGCTCTTTGCTTCTGTGCAGGTGCTGCAGGAAGAGCAGAATGAGAAGAGGGCTTTAACAGAGACACTGCTCCAAACTCGGGGACAGCTCAGCCAAGCGTGCCAGCAGGTCCAGCAGCTCAGGCAGGAGGTGAAAGAGCAGCAAGAGAAGGGACAGGTAAGTCTGAGTAGGCAGGGAATGGAGTGCAGGGCAGGGACAAGGGCACAAAAGGCAGCTCCTGGGAGTGAGGAGGCAAGGGCTGCCTCAGGCTGTGGGAGCACAGAGCCTGGTAAGCTCCAGAGCTCAGGCCCAGGAAGGAGGGCTTGCAGTGCAAGCAGAGCTGGGTTGAGAAGCCACAAGAAGTGGCTGAAGGAATGGGATTTGGAGACAGCAAGTGCAAAAATCTGAGCCTGAGGGCAGGTCCCAGGAAGTCACTCTGCATTTTGTAGCCAGACCATCAAGGCAAAGCTGCAAGCTGAGCTGCAGGAAGCTCACGATGAAATATTGGCAGTGCAGAGGAGGCACAAGGAAGAACTTCAGGGCATCAGAGAGAGGAGATGAATGTCTTCCTTGAACAGAGGGATGCTCTACAAAAGCAGGTGAGTTGAAACAG